CATCACGTCTAATGATTTCTACTGTTCTCCTGAATATTTAAAGTGTCTACAACCTGCTGATTTGTCAGTTTCTACTTAACATGAGACAAAAGACATAATCGTGGATGGTGACGGGTGGACTCAACTTATCCCTAATACGTTGACTTCACTGTTTCTGAGTTATGTCCTAGAGGGTCTCAAAATTGTAAAGTGATACGGATTTGGACATATAATTGAGTGATTAAAACAAAATAAAACCAAGAAATCTCAGATGCAATATAAGTGATGGAAGATTTTGGTAGCTCAAGGTTTAAGCAGGGCCACTACAGACTGTTAATTTCAGTTTCCGATGTAAACGAAGGTTAAATGATGAAGCTGTTAATTCCTACGATCATTAAAAAAATTGGTGATAGTGATATAGAAATCAAGTCTGAAGTTAAGTATTTTGGACTAATTCTTTCTTGTCACATATCCTGGTCTTCCCATGTCTGAGAGATTTCTAAAAGAATATTTCGTCTGACGTTTTACGTTAAGAAGTTAAGACAATCAAGGCATAACTCAACCCCTCCTCCTCTTACAGTTTGTCAACTCGCTTATCTTAACTATTCTTCTTTACTTTTCACCCCTGCATATTCTCTCCTCGATTGTTTAAAAAAGACTATGTCATACATGGCTGAACTCTGAAGACTGTCTGTTGGTAAGGCGAGTGGTATCCCTTTGAGCTATATCGTTGACATTGTCACTGACAGACACTTTATGTCATGCAACAAATTTGCAAAAGGAATTTTGTCAGACTCTGAGCACTCACTCTACCCGCAGCTCCAACGTTGTGTCTCCTCAGGTAAAACAATAAGTCTTTTCAGAAGACTTTATGCACGTACGTCTAAGTGCGAAAATTCCACGATACCATATTTGGCGGCACGTATTTTATGTGATGAAAATAGTGTCACGCATGAACTAACTAACTAAGCTTCTTTGCACTACTAAATAAACCATTTCTTCCACCCTTACAAAATCAACCTATATTGTTATTGTATTTCTTATATTTATAATCCTTTCAATTTTTTTGTTTTTATTTATTTATTTTTCATAAGTGTGAACACCATTTAAGCTGTGTTATAACTGTGAATTTTGTACTTCCCCTCACTATACTACATCAACAGAACATTAGATTCAATACTCTATAGTAACATGCTAAAATTTCCAAACTGAATCGCCAATACTGTTTGAAACAAACTCACTGTCATTATTATTATATTTATTACTCTCAATTCGTGCTTCGAATATTTTTGACTTTATATCGTATACGTGGACAAATTCCTCTGGTTACTTTAGTTTTAATTTTTAATTTTATTTGTATGTTGAGTAAATCAGATGCAATATTGTGACAAATGCTGAGAATTCCATTCTGTATTATTATTATTATTGTATCCTTTAGTTCCTAGAGGAACATAGGGCTTCAGCTGCGCACCTCCATTGACTTCGGTTTTCTGACAACTTTTTCACGCTGCTCCAGGTCTGTCCACATGCTTTCATCTCCTCCTCGCATGACCTCCTCCAAGTCACCCTTCCACTGACGACCAACTCGCCGCCTCCCTTTCGGGTTCCACTCGAGTCATGGCTTGTCTAGTGATGTCACTTGATGGTTTCCTCAGCGTATGGCCAATCCATCTCCATTTCTTTCTGCCTATTTGTTTCACAATCGGTTCCTGATTGGTTCGCTCCCAGAGATCCCTGTTGCTGATCTTTTCTGGCTGGCCATCTGATCTTGAGTATTGAGCGGAGACAGTTGTTAATGAAGGTTTGAAGTTTGTTTGAGATGCTCTTTATGACTCGCCAAGTCTCTGATCCGTATAGTAGCACTGACTTCACATTGGAGTTTAAAATCCGGATCTTATTTTTGATGCTGATTGCTGTTGACCTCCACACAGATTTGAGAGTAATGAAAGCTTGTCTTGCTTTTCCGATTCTGACTTTGATGTCCTCGTCAGTTCCGCCTGTAGTTGAGACGATGCTTCCCAGGTAGGTGAAGGAGGTTGTTTCTTTCAGTATTCTTTCTTTCTTTCTTTCAGTTTCTGTATTATAAGTACTGTTTATCTTGGAATGAAGTAGATTATTATTATTATCATGTACGCCTCAACTTTCTTTAATTGGCTTTCAACCAAGTATCATACCCAATATTCTCATAAGCCAGACAGTAATGTATCAGGCGATCTGCTGCCAATTAATCTTTTTTATTTAAACATCCTGGACGAAGAGAAAATTTTTTTAAACTTTTTTAAAAATTTTTTATTTACAACTTGATTCCACACTGTATTTTTGGTACAAGTATGGAATTTTCAGCATGGATATCGGTAGCCCAAATTTTGCAGGCCGACCATAGATATCAGGTGTGCGCCGGCAAGGGCTCGAACCTCGGACCATGTGCATGGTGGGCGAGAGTCCTAACCACTGTGCCACCGTGCAGTGAACTTCTCTGAAGGTACTTTACATTATATAAAGACTTTCTAGAATACGGCTATTATTATTATTATTATCACTATCATTAAAACATGTGGTCTGCTTGATACTGTCATAAATGGTAGTGATGAAATCAATGCATATTAGCATAAAACTAATTCACTACTTATATACTGAGATGAGTAGTCGCATACCACTCACATTAACAGCCAGTAGTGCTGTGCAGCCATTCATTTCGAGGTGCATTAAACACGGGACTGCTATTTCACTCGTTTCAGGCAGAGTTCCTCATCAGCGGTGGTGAACCCATACCCAGTTTGGTTCGGCTCCCAAAGCAGAATTTCTTCAAACCACCCGATTTCTGGCTGACCGGCTAGCTAGCTAGCTAGCTACTTGGGCGAAATGCTAACACTATAGATTAAATGCCACACTGTAGATGTTTAAAAATATAAAACATTGACTACCTACCGAGGAGTCATTAAAGCAATTAAGTCTCATAGTAATCCTTGAGATTTCGAAGTTGACCAGTTATTAAGCGTATAGTAAGATTAAATAAAACTGCTAACACACTGGACATTGTTGGAAAACTTCCCCCCCCCCAATAAATAATAAAAAATAAATTTCCTTTTATCATCAAGAATAGACATCATTTTAGGTTTGTAGTAGTCACTTTTGTTCATAATGACGACTCCAGAACCTTTTATCAGGTTTCGTAATAATTATATTAGAATTTTCCTGTAGCTCTTTCCTTTCAAAGCTTTGAAATGGTGGGAATTTAAAATACTTTTCTCATTTGGGTTGTTGTTTAAAAACTGATGAGCTATATCCACTAGCTTGGCCTTAAACCAACCAACCGTGATCTTTATCAGATGTTGCGGCAAGAGGTTTGAGTTGGTCATATAAGTTTTCAAACTCAGCATGAATGGCTAAATCCCTTAATTGCGTGCGAGGAACACAAAATTTGACTCCAAGGGATACAGCTTATTTCTGATGAGTAGATAAAGTAATATCAGAAAGATTTGTAACATACTTACCAGGATTCCCCAGAAAAAGATCTACGTGGTTTCGATCATCAACACTGAACAACCCAGAGGAGAATTATTAGTGTTATTATTGTTCCCTTGGGTTCGTAGTGGAACATACGGCTTCAACTGAACGTCTCCACTTGCTTCTGTCTTCCTTCTGCTGTACTTTTCACCTGCATCCATGTCAGTTAGTTCATACTGTTTCAACTCATCTCTCTTCACACGATCTCCTCCATGTCACCCTTGCAATGATGTCCCAATCGCCGTTTCCCTTTCGGTCGGGTTCCACTCGAGCAATGGCCTGACGCTCGCGCGATGTCACCCATAGGTCTCCTCAGCGAGTGTCCAATCCATCTCCACTTTCTCCTGCATATTCGTTGGTTGACGATTGGTTCTTGTTTCGTTTGTTCCCATAACTTCTTGTTGGTGATTCTTTCTGGCCATCTGATATGATCTTCAGTAAAGAGCGAAGACAGTTGTTGATAAAGATCTGCTAGTAGCTGTTGGAAATATTCTTTGTGACTCGGCCCCTGCCAAGTTTCTCATCCGTATAGAAGAACTGACTGACTTGACGTTGTTTGTATTGAAAATTCGACCGGATTTTGTTGTCGATGCTGAGTTGAGTGACGAAGATTGGTTTCCAGATTGGTTTCAGCTTGATGAATGTGTTTCTCGCCTTCTCGATTCTCGCTCGATTTGACATCCTCGTCCGTTCCGACTGCGTGTAGTTGAGACAATGCTCCCTAGATTACTAGCTCGCTAGTTTCCTAGCCGGTCCAAAGCCCAGATAAAGAAGGAGGGTTGGGGGTTGCTGCTAGCAACTCCACCCCCAAAACTTAATCAAATCGCTACAGAAACTTCAACGCACAAATATATTAAATATACTAAAAATATAAATAATAACCTGGAATCGGGGAAGTGAAATGACGCAGGCTGGTGAAAGCCTTCGGGAAACCAGTCAGTCAATGTGCCTTCTTTCGATGAAAGGAAAAATAAGCATGGGTACCTGGAATGTTCGTACAATTTACTAAACTGGAAAGGCTGCCCAGGTAGCCGCAGAAATGAGACAGAAGATATAAAATACAAGTGTTGAGAATCTGCGAGAGCAGATGGAACGGATGTAGAAGGTGCCAACTATCAACTGGAAAGACAATAATCTATTCCAGTCACCCTGAGGACAATCACGAGCACACCGAAGGAGTGGCCATCATGATGTCGCCTAAAGGAAAAAAGTATTTTAAATTCCCACCATTTCAAAGCTTTGAAAGGAAAGAGCTACGAGAATATTCTAATATAATTATTACGGAACCTGATAAAACGTTCTGGAGACGTCATTATGAATAAAAGTGACTACTACAAATCTAAAATGATGTCTATTCTTGATGATAAAAGCAAATTTAGCCGTGACCTCTTCTCAGAAGATATTCATTTGTTGCAGCACAGCACAGTGACAGCTAATCTAGCAAATAAATAAATAATGAAATCGAATAATTAATTAATTATTGATTGATTGATTGATTTTATTTACTGACTTACTCCATGATTAGAACATGTTACATTCTGATAAATAATACGTCCATCATTTAATTGTTGATTAATTGGCCCAGCAGGACAATTCGATCGAAAAGCAACATGTGGTAGTACACATTCTTGATGAAAACAATATCTATCAGGAGCACATGCAGCACCTTCAGGTACAAATCGAACTTTAGATGAATGTGCCAGATATCTGCATTACATATATACATGTGATATGAAAACAAGAAAATATATATATGTATATATACACACATAAGACATATGGGTGTAAGCCAATACAAAAAAAGTAAATGAAACGAAGACTATGAATAACACTCATGTAAACAGATGAATAATTACTGAAAATAATAAAACATAAATAAATTATGATCTAGTTAAGATCCATTATAATACAGGTTTTTTTGTATTTCCTAATGAATGAAAAACAAAACGATATTGTTGCATTTACTGACATTTCGTTATTTAATGCTGTTGCTAATAGCTGCTTTATCAAAGTAGTAGTGTAACAACAGAAGACAAGGCCAGTCAGGCAACAGATCGTTTATTAAGGAAAATCAACACATATTTATAGATTTTCATGTACATTATTCTAGAATATTGTTAGCAGAAAAATACAGTCTTCTGATTGGTGGTTGTTTCTCTTTGAAAGTTGATCTTTAATCTCTTTGTGGGTGTTTCTTGAATGTCAGGTCATCTATATGAAAAAACTGTATCTGCCTACGCAAAGCCTTTGTTCTCATTTTTCTCACGACCAATATTGGGGACATAAACATTGGCGTAAATTAATGTCTACCAACTTTAGCTAAGAGCCAGCTCTCACCACACTCGCCCCCCCCGTCAAAGACTTGAGACTGAAGTTGGTTAGGTCTTCTTGGTTCTAGGGACTTTGCTCGTTTTTGTTTCTGTCTGGAATCTTGGCACTCGCTGATGTTCACCTGTTTCTCTTTGTTTACCACTGCGATTGTGTCTCCGTAACCCCATCTCAACGTGACCATATGTGGTCCTTCCCACTTTGGAAACTGTTTGCCTGACTCTGTCGCACATTCGTCAGTATTTCGCCTTAGACTCATATGCTGCTTTCTCCCGACCTCCCAGCAGCGTACCAAGTAACAACCTCATCGCTGACAGATCTTGAATGCCACTTGACTGCACAGAAGCCCCGAAGACCTGCTCGAAAATCCGTATGTCTCCATCAAAAACTGCAAAGCATAGGCTTTCCATTTGTCGGTAAGCAGCGACACCAAATGTAACAACAGAAGACAAGGCCAGTCAGGCAACAGATCGTTTATTAAGGAAAATCAACACATATTTATAGATTTTCATGTACATTATTCTAGATTATTGTTAACAGAAAAACACAGTCTTCTGATTGGTGGTTGTTTCTCTCTGAAAGTTGATCTTTAATCTCTTTGTGGGTGTTTCTTGAATGTCAGGTCATCTATATGAAAAAACTGTATCTGCCTACGCAAAGCCTTTGTTCTCATTTTTCTCACGACCAATATTGGGGACATAAACATTGGCGTAAATTAATGTCTACCAACTTTGGCTAAGAGCCAGCTCTCACCATAGTAGTATTAAACCAGAATTTACAGAATCCACTCAGCTTATATATAACAGATAAATCACCGCTCATCAGCACGAGATAATTGGTACGTTGTCAAGTTGGCCAATCGGTAAAGATAACAAAACCAAGTGTAGATTGTTGCATTTTGATAAAATTATGAACTTATAAAACCAACACATGTTTACAGAATGAAATAGCTTATCAATCATATTCGTGTTAATTTTATCAATTCATTAGAGGGTGTGTGTGTGTGTGTTGTAAGCAGGTCAAATTTTGCTTTACACCATCACTTCTATTCAGTTTATTTGAGTTCCATTTGATATAAATGAAGTGCTTCTGATGATAATAGACGATGTTCTTTGTGATTTCTGAAATGCTTTTTCTGGGTGATGATTTCAATACTGGCAAAATCACTTTAAGGCTTGATTCTACCAAAGGCGAGTTGACCAATGGCTTGTTGATGACTTTTCAAGCTTCTCTAGTTCACTAAATGGAATTTTCGATGGTCGAACAGAATCGGGTCTATGGTGTTCATTTCTTCTGATTTTGATTTCTCGAGATCTTTGTTAAAATGACGTCAAGCTGAGGAAGGATGATTAAGTTGTCACAAATAAGCTGAGATTTTGTAAATTCCGGTTTAATATTACTACTTTGATAAAGCTATCCGCAGCAGCGATGAATAGCGAAACGTCAGTAAAAAGCAACAATATCGTTTTATTTCTCATTCACTGGGAAATACAGAAAATTTTTTTATTATAGTGAATAACACATATCCAATGCCGAATTTTTTTCAAATTGTTAATAGTGAACTTGGTTTGAACATGTATAGTTAAGATTCAGTGTAGAATGATTCAATCATCAGTTAGAGAGCCATTTAAAATTTAAAAAAAACCCATCAGGAGCACAGACAGTACCTTCAGGGAAATATCGAACTTCAGATGAATGTGCCAGATATCTGCATTATATATATATACATACATGTGATATGAAAACAAGAAAAAATATATATGTATATATACACATAAGACATATGGGTGTAAGCAACGTTTGTTTTTCCTTCACGTTCCCCAGTGGAACATAGGACACCTTCAAGCTAGTGACTTGAAGTTTCTGTAGCAGTGGTGATTATTTTTTTTTTACAGGATGGGGTTGCTAGCCTCATGCCTCTTTACCAGCATTATTTCTGGCTTAGCGAGGTAAAGGAGTGCGTTGGCGCCCGGGGATCGAACTCCGAACCTTGTGCATGGTCGGCGAGCGTCCTAACCGCTGTACTACCGACGCATGGTGTAAGCAAATACAAAATAATAAATCTAAAGCGAAGACTATGTATAACACTCATGTAAACAGATGATTGGTTACTAAAAAAAGTTAAACATAAATAGCGAAACGTCAGTAAAAACAACGGCAATATCGTTTTGTTTTTCATTCATTGGCAAATACCAAAAACAAACCCTTATTATAAATTATAATCTAGTTAAGATCCATTATAATAAAGGTTTTTGTATTTCCCAATGAATGAAAAACAAAACGATACTGTTTTTATTCAAGTGTTGGTTTGTAGGGATTTGATTGGCTTACAGGATTTCATCATGAGGTGACATTAGTTAGAGAACCATTGGAAAACCACCTGGGAGTACTGGACAGCTGTTTCGTCAGCCTAGTTTGGGACTCTTCTGCAGTGCGCACCCACCGCCAGGGTTCGGACCCAGGACCTTCCGGTTACAAGGCGAGCTCGTATACCACTAAGCCACTGGCCCTATTCAGGTAGGTAGTTACCCGGGTTCCAGTGGGAAGTCGTGACCAGTAGGGTGCAGCTGGTCGAGTGTGAGGACAAATACTCGCCGAAGACATTGGCTAGCGGTCGCGCTATGTCGTGAATTGGAAGAAGTTAGAATTCAAGGACCATTGGATCGGGTCCCAGTGGCCTAATGGTATACGAGCTCGCCTTGTAACCGAAAGGTCCTGGGTTCGAACCCTGGCGATGGGTGCGTACTGCTGAAGAGTCCCAAACTAGGCTGACGAAACAGCTGTCCAATACTTCTTGGTGGTTTTCCAATGGTTCTCTAACTAATGTCAGCTCATGATGAAATTCTGATACTGTTTTTACTGACATTTCACTATCTTAAGTGCAGTAAATAGCTTTATCAAAGTATGATTAAACCAGAAGTTAAAAATTCTAAGCTTATATATAACGAATTCAATCATCGTTCATCAGCATGAGGGCACTTTTACAAGCATCTCGAGAAATCGAAATCAGAAGAAATGAACACCGTATAGCCGCATCTATTCGACCACCACCGAGAAATCCAGTTAATGAACTAGAAAAGCTTGAAAAATCATTAGCCATAGGATTGTCTGCACCCTGTAGAATCAGGTCACAAAATTGATTTTGACAATATTAAAATCATCATCCAGAAAAACTTCAGAAACCATAAAGAACGTCTCATATCACCAGAAGCGCTTCATATCATCAAATGGAATCCAAATTATCTGAACTGAATGTAAATGATGGACTAAAACAAAAATTTGACCTGGTTACAACACCCGCTTCTTCCATGAAGTGACAAAATCAACACAAATGTGATGAGAAATTTCGTTATGCTTTTATAATTTTATACACTTATCAAATCCAACAATCTGCATATGGTTTTTTGTTATCTTTACCAACTGGTTAACTTGACAACGTACAAACGTATAATCTCATGCTGATGAGCGGTGATTAAGTTGTTATATATATATAAGCTGAGTGAATTTTGTAACTTCTGGTTTAATAATGCCACTCTGATAAAGCTATTAGCAGCAGCATTAAATAGCGAAACGTCAGTAAAAGCAACAATATCGTTTTGTTTTTCATTCATTGAAAAATGCAACCAAACCTTTATTATAATGAATATCATGTAACCAATGACCAAATTTTTTCAAACTGTTAAAAATGAACTTTGGTTTGGACGTATAAAGTTAAGATCAAGTTTAGAATGATCCAATTATCAGTTAGAGAACTATTAAAAAAAACCATCAGGGAGTACTGAGCAGATGTTTCGACCTGGCCTGGGACTCTTCAGCAATACGCACCCGCCTCCGGCTACAAAGCAAGCTCGCAGATCAACGGATGCACACTGTTGAAGAGTCACATAGAACTAGAAAGAAACAGCAAGCTGTCCAGTCCTCCCTCTTTGGTAGTTTCCAATGGTTCACTAACCGATATCAGCTCATTATGATGAAATCATTAGTCAGTCATCTGATATTGTAAAGGCAGAATATAAGAGTAATTGGCAGTAGTAGAATTCCTCAATGTGTAAATCGATGTGCAGATTATCAACAAAATTATATCAACTGATGGCGACCTGTTTAAATTCACTGGGTTACCTAAATTATCTGTCCATCAAAATGTATTGTGTTGAACCCGTTTCATAGTGTTTTTATTAATGGTCGAATTACTCATCTACAATGGTGCACAATTTCAAATAGGCTTCGATTTACCGCAAGAGATTTTTCGAAGGAAATAAAGGAAGAATATTGTAGAGAAGAAGTACTGACGAATAGTTCGTATGGAATAATATTTCTTCAGATGATAGCATTATCGATTAGTGTGTATTATTGGAAGATTGTGGACGGCAAGAGTAAAC